TGAAATGAATGCCTAACATTAGAACCATCATTAAAAAGCCATACCCAAGAATGTTCTTCTTGCATCTCATTTTCTACAAATCAGAAAATTCAGACTGGCCCAGGAGCTTTTGATACAGTTCTAGAGAGAATTATTGAGTCTGTCATTTGTATTTCTGTAACTGTCTAGTTTGGTACAGGAACCAAACTTGACAGCTCAGACTTCAAAGGATGGTTAGGACTGCAGAAAAAACAATTGCAACTTAGTTGCTTTCCAGAGATGACCTGTATATTGCAAGGGTGAGAAGGAGGGATGAGAAAATATCTACAGACTCCTAACATACTGCACATAAACTCTTTCCATTCCTCCCCTCGGGACACTACTACAGAGCATTGCATGACAAACACAACTAGACACAGAGACAGTTTTTTCCTTCTTGCCATCACTGTTCTGAACACCTAATTCCCACAGTACTGTCTTATATCTAAGTATATTTACTGATGACTGTAGTATTATTATTTTTCTCATTTTCTCTACTACCTCCTATTATTGGTATCATGATTATTATTACTCTGGGATTTTTGCATGTACATTGAGAGTTTCTGCACTGGAGACCAATTCCTTGTGTGTCTAACCACACTTGACCAAATAAAGTTCTCTTCTCTTCTCTTCTACTCTCTTCTATGATCTATTTTCTTTTTAGAAATCTTATTTCTATCCAAAAATAGACCCTAAATTAAAATTTCCAGCGACTATTAGAATAATGTAAAATGTATTCAATTAAACCATAAAATTACATCTATCGCATGCTATTCAAAGATTTCTATGTTTAACTACTAAAATGTATAGTGATATTTAATATCTAAAATTTCTTATTAGATGTTTTGAATAATATTATTTTGAAAATATCATACCTGGGCTATGGCAAAAAAAGTGAATATACATTCATAAATTATTATCTTTATGCCTGTAAATAGTGTCCTAAAGAAACTGTTAATCCTCAGTCTTTGAATTAGCTTTGTATTGATGCAAAGATAAGAGCACGTGAAAGGATTATTGCTAGTTCCTATGTACATTAAGTTCAATTTATTCTGTAAAAATGGAATCACATTTTTTTAAATGAAGAAAATTGTGCAATTTTATTAGAGTTGGATAACTCTAACACATAGATAGAAGATAGATATGAATAGGTAAATAGATGATAGGAGATAGATAGATAGATAGATAGATAGATAGATAGATAGATAGATAGATAGATAGATAGATAGATAGATAGATAGATAGTTAGATAGATAGATAGATAGATAGATAAAAAAATAAACAGGATAGAGATAAAAGTTTTGTTTTATTTTTTGATGTTTTAGTTTAGTGTATTTAATTTAATGTAAAGTTCCCAAGAGTGAGAGAGGCAATTGCTGTTGTCTTCTCTGAATTGTTCAAGTCTCTTAGAGGAGCAATTTTGTAGATAATCAAATGTTATCTAATTAATCTCTGGTTTAAAGTGGCCTTACTGCAGATTGTGAAAATTCTCAAGATCTGGCTATATTTCTGGGGATGGGGTTAATGTTGGTATTATGCCTCAATATATAGCTAGTTATTCCCCAATATATAGCTATTTTGTACTATCTGCACCATTTATTATTCTGTTCATTTTAGTCAAGGCTGCTGGTTTGTATGGGTTTTTTCATGGAATGGGTGGCCAAATTAAATTATTTGAATTATTGCAGTCATTATCATTCATCTTGAGAGAATCAAAACTGGTATGGAACAACATTTTCTCCCTTTTGGAGTGCAGAATCAGCATGAGATCATAAATGTTGTCTTTCTAGCCAAGTCAGGCATCATCTGCATTGTCTCTAACAAGGACAAGAAATTGGAAAGTAGAAATTAGAGTTTCACAAACATGTGTTTGCTGAAAATGATCCCATATTTTTCTTTAAACTTTCAAGACAGTATCCAAAATTAAGCACTTTTAGATCCCTACCTTGCCCTGCTGTACCTCTTGGAACATCATAATTTTCTAAGATCATCATGATCCTTGATGATCATGCTATCAGCACTATGCATTTAAAACAAAACAAAAATTATAGCAATATCAATAGCACGTAGAGTTACATACCACTTCACAATATCAATAGCACTTAGAGTTATATACCACTTAGAGCTCTCTAAGCAGTTTATAGAGTCAGCATATTGCCCCCCACAATCTGGGTCCTCATTTTACCCGTGTCAGAAGGATAGAAGGCTGAGTCAACCTTAAGCCTGCTGGGAACTGCTAAATTGCAGGCAGCCAGCTGTCAGCAGAAGTAGTTTGCAGTACTGCACTCTAACCACTACACCACCACAGCTCTTATAATGCTCTTATTCAATTTACATCTTTATCAAATTTCAAAATCAAACATTAAAATATAAATTAAAATGAAAGGGAAAGTGGAAGTGAATAATAAAACAAATTATCTATAAAATAAATGTTGTTCAGTTTACATCAAAATTGGTAATTAAAATGTATTGTTCAAAAATATGTGTATTTATTCAATTTAAACTGACCATTTCACTATTGAACAACTCTTTTTTTTAAGGGAGAAAAGTAATTAATTGAAAAATATTTCAATGAAACAATCAATAAAACACACTAATTATACAAAATTCTAAAGAGAAATGTGGCCTTGCCCCTCCAAGTTTTAAATTGTATTATAAAGTAAGCTGCTTGTAATGAGTAAAGTCTCCAAATAGCAAAATGGCAATTCTGGAGGTAGCTATGTATACAGACATGATACACTCAGGTTCTATGAACTTAAAAAAAGGAAGAATTATTTAATGAAAAGATCTTCACCTGAAGATCAGATCTCAAAAAGGAAGGAAGAACATCAGGAAAAAATGAATATGAAATGCTAAATAATAAATCAACACCATTTATTAGGCTGTAAATACAAACTTTTATTTAGACTTGACACAGAATAAAAACTTGCAATAAAATGCATAAAACATTCAAATAAAGTTACCATACAATAGTTGGAAGAATGATGGACTAAATCTATAAAAATTTACACTGTTATAAACTAAAGAAAAATTGTTATAAAATGTTTTATTGACGGCATACTACAATAGTGGGATTCAAAAATTTTTACTACTGGTTCTATGGGCGTGGCATGGTGGGCATGGCAGGGGAAGGATCCTGTAAAATCTCCAGTCAGAGGTGGTATTTGCCGGTTCTCTGAACTATTCAAAATTTCTGCTACCATTTCTTCAGAACTGGTCAGACCCTATTGAATACCACCTCTGATATACTACCACTATCTATGAATATTATCTAAGACATACGTCAGTAGATGGTGGAAATGCCAGGATATAAAATAAACATTTTATTACATGTGGTATATAAGTAAAAAATAATGCAAACATTATACATAGCATAATACAGAATATTTTGGAATTTAAATTTGAAATGAAATCATAACTTTTTATTAGAAATAATCTCTAAAATAATCAACAAGAAACATAATAACTAAATGAGATATATGCTTACACTTGTGAGAATAAACTTTGTTCAACGCTGGAAGAAAAGCCCAATTGTAACAATATCTTCATTAGGAATTAAAACTTGAAGAATATGTACAATACACTAGTTTATTAAGCTTTAGAAATGTGCCTGTTCTATGTATCTCCAATACAATTACTTCTAATGATTGTAATAAATATATATTATACAAAATGGTTATTTTTAAAATTAAAATAGGCTGATTTCTCTCCTCATTTACATCTGCTAATTTGCAATATTTATAAGCATTTAGCCCCCTTAAAACCAATTAATAGATGATTGTATCTAACATGACGTGTGATGTATTGTATACCGGGGCACAATTCTTGTGCAAAGTTAAACTTATTTATTTATTTATTTATTTTATTTGATTTGCCAATTGTTTACAAGATAATAAGTATAAGTGTATACATAGTTGTGAATACATGAAATGGGTACATATAAGAAAAATAAAAGAATAAGAGAAACAATAGGACAGGGACGGTAGGCACGTTGGTGCGCTTATGCACGCCCCCTACAGACCTCTTAGGAAAGGGGTGAGGTCAATAGTAGACAGTCTAAGGTTAAAGTTTTTGGGGTTTGGGGAAGAGACTACAGAGTCGGGTAGAGTATTCCAGACATTGACCACTCTATTGCTGAAGTCGTATTTCCTGCAATCAAGTTTGGTGCAGTTTACTTTGAGTTTGTATCTATTGTGTGCTCTTGTGTTGTTATGGTTGAAGCTGAAGTATTCATTGACAGGTAGGACATTGCAATGTATGATTTTATATACCATGCTTAAGTCAGACTGAAGACCGCGTAATTCAAGGTTTTCTAGTTCTAGAATTTCAAGTCTGGTGGCATAAGGTATTCTACAACGAGTAGAAGAGTGGAGAACTCTTCTTGTGAAATATTTCTGGACTTTCTCAATTGTGCTAATATCAGATACGTAATGAGGGTTCCAGACTGATGAACTGTATTTGAGTATTGGTCTAGCAAATGTTTTGTATGCTCTGGTTAGTAGTGTGATATTACCAGAGAAAAAGCTACGTAGGATTAGGTTAACAACTCTTAATGCCTTTTTGGCTATGTAGTTGCAGTGGGCTCTAGCACTTAGATCATTAGAGGTGAGTATTCCAAGGTCCTTTACAGAGCTTGGGTCAGGTGTGCATACCCTGTTACTTTTGCTGTTGTTGCAAAACTAATAATTATATTTTGCTAATACAGGAAAATTCATATTAAAATCCTGAAACACAAAATTGCTGATTTTTTGATATCTGAGAAATGTATTGCCAAACTGAAAAGAGAAATCAATGCGTAAATTTCAATGCAACAATTATAAAACTTCATGGGAGAATAGACAGTAAATATCACCCCCGCCAGCAACTTCCTTGCTGTCCTAAAAGAAAAAGAAACCTCAAATCTAGATTAGCAGTTTTGATTGCAAAACATACTTGCATCTGTTTTAGCAGCTACATTCATCACCAAAGGCAAGGAGAGAATTCTATGGATATTTTCTTAAAGCAAGTGAACATTTGATAAGAATTTGTTTTAAGGATTTATGAACTTCTTTATTTCTTAAAGTATAGATGAGCGGATTGGCTAGAGGAGTTAGGATTGTGTAAAAAATAGAGAAAATTTTACTGAGATGTTTCATAGTGGGGATATCTCGGAACATATAGACAATGATTAATGTGCCATAAAAAAGACAAACTACCATGAGATGAGAGGAGCAGGTTGAAAAAGCTTTTTGCCTACCAATGGTAGATTGAATTGTTATGATGCTGCCAATGATGCAAATGTAAGAACTGAAGGTCAGTAAAAATGGAGGGATGGTAAAAATGAAGGACAAGAGAAGAACAATGAGTTTGAATAGTGTTGGGTCCCTGCAAGTCAGTTTTTCCAATGGAGTTAAGTCACAAATGTAGTGATCTATTATATTGGATCCACAGAAAGAAAGTTGGGCTAGCAGAAACACAACAATGCTATTAACTATCAAACCATTTATCCATGCCCCAGCCATAAGCTGGAAACAAAACTTCCTGTTCATAATAGAAGCATAAAATAAAGGTCTGCATATTGCCAAGTAGCGGTCGTAAGACATTGCTGCCAGGAGAAATGTTTCTATAGCTATGCAACAGCCAAAGAAAAAATATTGGGTTAGGCAACAATTTACAGTTATTGTTCTGTCTCCAGTAAACAAAGTGGTCAGCATTTTTGGCAAAATAGTTGAGGAATAGCAGGTTTCAAGGCAAGACAAATTTCCCAGGAAGAAGTACATGGGGCTGTGAAGGTGTTGGTCAGCTACAACTAACACAATGATGAGAAGATTCCCAGTTACTGTCACAAGATAAATCACCAAGAAAAGCATGAAAAGAAAAGGCTGTAATCCATTAGGATTTCCCAAACCTAAGAATATAAATTCTGTGATGCTTGTCTCATTTTCTTTCTCTGCAACTAACATTTTTTTCAGTTCAGCAAATATCCAAAAATAAAAACACAATCAGGAAACCACGCAATTGTGTTCTCCACTGGATCAGTTAAAATTAGAAATCCCAAATTTATAATTCAAAGTGGTCTTACTTCATTTAGAATCAACAATCTAATCCGGGACTGCTTTATATCTCCCTTTTTTATCTAATGAATGAAATTTTCACAGTGATGGGTTTATGAAGGAAGCATATTTCCCATAGGTTTTGTCCAGCTATCAGTCTTGCTATCAGAAGCTCCATCTTGTGGGGAAAAATAGATTACAAGAACTATTATATCAGTTAGTCTCTTAAAGTCTGAAACACTTGGAGTCCCTGCCAATAAATGCATATTGTTTTGTACAAAGGATTGATGTCATTATGAAACTTACTTGCCACAAGTGATTTTCAAACTCATAGATGTCCAGCCATCACTAAACCTAACACTAACATTCTCCACAATAAACATGTGTGTCTCTAAAGAATCTTCCCCAGGCATTTCAATTAAATGATCCATTGAGATCACTTGCTGCTGATTATCTAACTTTCTATAAAGCTTTAATCTACAACCAAATTGCTAGCCTCAAAAAAAATTTCTCCTTTAATTATGTTCCCCTGAATTTTCTTTTGTTTGGAATTTATTATTTTGGAAGAATAATGTCCCCTCCCCCAAGAAAATAAATCCTTAGAATCTGCAGGGTGATACTTAGGTACAGATGATATAGAGTAACCTGTACCATCAGCTATAGTTTTTATATCTTTCTTTCTATATATTGGTACTCTCTACCTCTTGGTACTGGGTTACCTTGAATTTATGTTTTACTGACAAAGAAATAAAGAGAGACTTCTATAGATCTATTTCAAGCTATTTAGCTCTCATCAGCTAGCCATACCCTTCTGGGATTCGAACCTAAGCAACTTGCATATTAGGTAGATGTATTAACCTCTAAGCCATGGGCTTTCCTTGCTTTGTTGATTTTGATGATTGTGACGATGATGCAAACAATAGAAATGGAGGAATTGTAAATAGGATGGTCATGCAAAAAACAAAGAGTTCAAAGAGACTTGTATCAGTATATAACAATTTCTCCAATGGACAAAAGTCAAAAAAACTAATGATCTATGAAATTAGGACCACAGAAGGGCAGTTGATCCATAAAAGCTGCCAGAATAACATTAAATATAAAACTACTTATCCATCCCACAGACATAAGTTGGAGACATAATTTCCTTTTCATAATAGAAGCATAGAGTAAAGGCCTATAAATTGCTAAATAGCAATCATAAGACATGACAGCCAAAAGATAAGTTTCTGTACTTCCACAAAAGCTAAAGAGATGGTATTGGGTTAGGCATCCACTTACAGTAATGGATCCTTCACCAGTCAGCAAGTTAGCCAACATTTTGGGCAGCAAGTGTCCAGGAAAGACAAATTTGAAAGGAAGAAGTACATTGGGGTATGAAGCTGCTGATTGTCCATAACAAGAAGAAAGATGAGGAAGTTTCCAGTTATTGTCATCACATAAATCATCAAGATGAATCAGAAAAGAAAACGCTCCACCTTAGGAAAAGTCCCAAAACCCAGAAGGATGAATTCTGTAATTCCCGTTTGATTTCCTTTTTCTGTATCTACCATCATAAAATGAAACTCAGATCTAGAATATATAAGAAAAAGAAAACAGATGTAAATTTCTAAAGCACTCTATTTCTCTCTGTCACTATAACTAAAATAATTGGAGAATTTGGATAACTAATGAATTTCGGCTTTTGTGCCTGGACTCCAACTGGAATGATGTGGTGTTAATGGACGCCTTCCAGGATGGCCTGTCAGATGAGCTGCAGGATGAATTAGTTCGAATGGAGACGCTCCAGACCCTCGATGCTCTGGTGGTGCAATGCCTGTGCATCGACGCACGTCTCCAATGGCGAAAGACCTATCGCACAGTCCAGGAGTTGCCATCCATGTCTGCAGCGCCGCGCCCTGCGCTGACAGCGTCCCAGGTCACCCCACATTTCGTGGCAACGGCTGAGGAGCCAATGGAGCTGGGAGCAGCCAGACCTCGCCTGACGGCCCAGGAGTGAATGCGGAGACGTCAAGGGGGTTAGTGCCTGTATTGTGGGGATCCCGGACATTTCGGTATTTCTTGTCCTCAAGAGCGAAGTGGGGCACTCAAGCCTGTGCTTGAATCTCAGCGTGATCAGTTGGGAAATGGGGCAGGCCTGACCTGGGGGAAACCCTAGGCCGGGCACATATCAAACGCCCACCTGAATTAGTGGAGGTTGACTCTGGGCCCCCTTGGCATCTGATTTTGGACACTCGGGTTTTCTTGGCTAACCAGTCAGAGGGGATTCCGGCGCATGTGCTGGTGAACTCAGGGACCACGACTAAATTTATGGACCAGGCCTTTGTGTCCCATTTTGATGTCCCCTTGGATCTGGTGGAACCCCCGATGAGGCTCGAGACTATTGATGGGTGGGAACTTATTGCAGGACCCTTTAAATTCACCACCCAGCCTTTGTGCCTAGCCATTGGAGCACATGAGGCGATTCACTTTTATGTCACCGTAGACCTCCATTTCCCATTGGTCCTTGGCATGGCTTGGCTTCAGATTCACAATCCTCAGGTGACATGGTTGCAGAACGCCATTTGTTTTCCGAATCTGCAGTGCGTGGACCACTTCCGCCACACCTGTGCTGGCCAGGACATCTCTACCTCTGCCGTCCTCTGGATTTACAACTGTGCTTTGTGAGATTTATTGCTGTGGTATCCTTGGTCTTGTGCTGTGATATCCTGGGTCATTTGCTGTGTTGCAACTTCTTGAGTTCTTGTGATGTAATTTCCTGAGTTTTCTGATGTGATATCCTGAGCAGGTGGCCATGATGTAGCATTCTGTGTTTTAGTCTGGCTTCGAGTTTGGGGTCTGGGTCTGTGTTCTTGGCATGTGTCAGCTTGTTTGGTTTTGGGGTCGGGGTGTGTGACAGCTGGTGAAGAAGCTCTGGTCTCGTTTCTGGATGGTGGTTGTCTTTTGTTTATAGGATGGGTTTGGGCCTGGGTCTGATGAGGGGGATTGGCAGTGGTGTCCCATGTTGTTTTGGGTCTCATTACCCAAGCCGTTACAACACAGGAGGCTAATGGAAAAGAGATCAAAACTCAAATGACCCAGGAGATTACAACGCAGGACCCAGGATACCACAACAAAAGAACTCGCAAGCCCATCACACAACCCATTACCCAAGCCGTTAAAACATGGGAGGCTAATGGAAAAAAGATCACTACAAAACAAACGACCCAAGAGATTACAGCACAAGATCCAGGATATCTCCACAACAAAACTCACAAGGCCACCACATAGCCCATTATACCAACATCAACTCCATCAACCGATCAAGAGGCAGCAGTGCAGCCAACCAGCCCAGCACACCAGGCCCCCTCCACCAGCATTTATGGAGAGATGGCAGCTCCGATCAAACACTGCTTGCACTGGCATGAAGCCGAAAGCACCAGCCTGAGGATGGTGAGTGGGATCTCGCCAAAACATCACCAAGATACTCTTAATCTTACACGGGAAAAGACCCGAACACACCTAGACCTATACACATACACATACAGAGAGAGAGAGAGAGAGAGAGATTTATGGTATTCAGCTTTGTTCAGGTATTTTCCCACGTCATTGTAGTTGAGCTTTTAAAGTTGTAGCAATGTTTTGGCAGAATCTCATCTGCCATCATCAGGCTTCTGTTTTGTGTTCGTCTGTGAGTCAGACTTTCACAGCTGATTCTGTTTTAAATTTGGTGCTAGCCAAAAACAGAACTAAAAGCACAACTATAATGACGTGGGAAAATACCCAAACAAAGCTGTATACCATACATGTAAGCACCCACGAAAACTTAAGAACACATATACATATATATATATATACACACACACACACACACACATTGCTAAATCCAAAATACTGAAACATTTTTCTTCTTTCTCTCTGTGTACTGTTTATTTATTTCAGGGAGTGTGGATAATTAATATTCACAATTATTGCACTCATATGTTTAGAAGAATCATTTTGTATGGAAGAATATGACTAAAAGCAGCACAATAATGTGTTTTATTTATTTCATAGAAGAGAAGAGATATAACTTGAGGCCTGTAAAGTATAGTTCAGGGGATCAGTTAGTACTCTCGTTTCCTACCCCTGTCAAATATATTTCCCTCCAATCCTCTGTTGTTTTCTAAAATGTTGTTAGATATGATTCCAAGTCATTCTAAATAAGTCATTTGAATTAAGTCATTCTAAAGCATGGTTCGCTATCTTTAAAAAGTCCGTGTTGACATGTAGGTTATTGTTGTATTGTTGTTGAAAAAGTATAAATTTGCCAACATGATTTCTGATGGTTATTATAAGCAAAATTTATTTTTTTGAGGGAATGAATCTGAAATATAATTATCTTACAGTATAAAGAAACTTATTTTCTTTAGTCAATCCCTAATCAACTTATTGTGTAAGTAATATTAATGTAAAAGACCACGGTGCACTACTTACAATATCTCCATAGGCAATTGGTGCAGTCATAGATATTCTAGTTAATTTCATCTGCTTAAAAAACAAGTCTACATTTCATTTTTTGAAACTCTTTGTGTTAATTCCACTGGTTTTTTTCAGCAGTCCATTTTTAAAAAAACATATATTTGGATAATGTATGAAACCAACTACTATTAATAGTGGTTTCATACATTATCCAAATATATTCTTGTTTGTTTTTAAATGTACTGTTGAAAAAAAATGGTTGCAGAATGGAGCTGTAGAATGTGAATTTATGTAAGTGAGAAAAACTTACCTCTTACTTAAAAAATATTCCATGCCCCCAGGCCATGATTGCTAAATGGTATACTTTCTAGGATTATTTCATATTATTTGTTTATTGAAAACATTTATATAACTATCCTTTATTCAAACCTTGGCACCTCCAAATCAAAGATTGAAAAATTGAAAGACACATG